GAATAAATTAAATAGTATTGGATGTCTTTAAATGTCTCATAGAATTCTGCTGTAAATCTATCTGGTCCTCGACTTTTTTTAGTCTGGATGTTTTATATTACTGTTTCAATTTTTTTTGTGTGTTATGGGTCTGTTTAAGTTGTTAATCTCTTCTTGGTTTAGTTTTGGTGGTTCCCATGCCCTTAGATATCCGTCCATTTCTTTTAGGTTTTCAAATTTAGTAGTATATAGGTTTTTAAAGTATTCCCTTATACTGTTCTTTTTCTTTCTGGTGTCTGTTGTGATGTTTCCCCTTTCATCTCTGATTTTGTTGATATGGAGGTGCTTTTTCTTTCTTTTGGTTAACTGGGCTAGTCAATCTTGTTTATCGTTTCAAAAGAACAAGCTCTTGGATTCATTGATTCTTTGTATTATTTGTTTTGATTTCATTAATTTCTGCCCTGACTTTTGTTATTTCTTGTCTGCTGTGTTTGGGTTTCATTTGGTGTTGCTTTTCAAGTGCCTTGAGTTGCAATGTAGTCATTTATTTGTGTTCTTTCTGAGTTTTGAATGTAGGCACTTAGAGCTATATACTTTCCTCTAAAGACCCTTTAAGGACGGCTTTCAATGTGTCCCAGAGGTTTTGTTGTGTTATATTGTCCTTTTCATTTAGTTCCAGGAATACTTTTATTTCTTTCTTAATTTCTCCTTTGACCCATTCATCATTCAGGAGTGTGTTGTTTAATCTCCATGTGTTCATGTGGTGACTAGGGCTTCCTCCGGTGTTGATTTTAAGCTTTATTGAATTGTGGTCTGATAGAATGCATGGAATTATTTCAGTCTTTTTGTATTTGTTGATGTTTGTTTTTTGCCCTAGTATGTGGTTGATTTTGGAGAAGATTCCATGGGGCACTGAATAGAAAGTATGTCCTTTGGTGCCTGGGTGGAATACTCAGTAGATGTCTGTTAGGTCCAATTGGTATATTGTATTGTTTAATTTGGATGTCTCCCTGTTAACTCTCTGCCCTGTTGACCTAGCTAATGGAGACAGTGGGGTATTGAAGTCCCCTACTATTAATGAGTTGGGATTGATCTGTATCTTAAAGTCCTGTAGTATTGTTTTTATGAAGTTGGGTGTACCAGAGTTTGGTGAATATATGTTCATGATTGTAATATCTTCTTGATTGATTGTTCCTTTTAGTATTGTTTTTATGAAGTTGGGTGCATCAGAGTTTGGTGAATATATGTTCATAATTGTAATGTCTTTTTGGTTTATTGTTCCTTTGATCAGAATGAAGTGGCCCTCTTGATCTCTTCTGATTAAAGTCTATTTTATCAGATACTTGCATTTCAATGCCTGCTTTTTTCTTAGTACCATTCGCTTGGTATATTTTTTTCTGTCCTTTCACCTTAAGATAGTGCCTGTCCTTGAAATCGAGATGGGTTTCTTGCAGACAACCAAAAAATGGGTTTCGTTTCCTCATCCATTGACCTAGTCTGTGTCTTTTGACTAGGGCGTTCAGTTTGTTAATATTTAAAATTATTAATGAAAGATGTGTATGGAATCCTATCATTTTTATTTCTGTTCACATTCTTGATATAGCTGTACTTTTCCACAGTTATACTTTCATTGGATTTCTTTCTGCAATCCCTTGAGTATAGTCATTCCTTTCTTCAGCTCTTTATATTGCTTCCAGAACTCCCTGAAGGGCTGTTTGTGGACATGAATTCCTTCAGCCTATTTATGTCATGGAAGATTTTTCTTTCCCCTTTGAGTATAATAGACATTTTGGCTGGGTATAGTAATCTGGGTTGGCATCTGTGGTCATTTAACACTGGGAATACTTTGGTCCAGGCTCTTCTAGCTTTCATAGTTTGCACTGAAAAGTCAGCTGTGATCCTAATGGGTTTTCCTTTATATGTGACTTGTTTCTCTTTTGCAGCTTTCAGTATTTTCTCTTTGTTCTGTATAATTAGTATTTTTACTATGATGTGCCATAGAGAGTTTCTTTTCTGCTCCTGTCTGTGTGGTGTTCTATATGCTTCTTGTATTTGTATGGGCATGCCTTTCTTTAATTTAGGAAATTTTCCTCCACGATTCTGTTGAAGACCTGGTCCATGCTATTATCTTGGGATTCTTTTTCCTGTAGGCCTATGATTAGTAAGTTTGGTCTTCTTATGGTATCACACAATTCCTGCATATTCCATTCTTGAGATTTCTTTAATTTTTCTTAATCTTTGCTTGAGTGGTCCAGTTCGTCCACTTTATCTTCCAATCTTGATACTCTTCAATCTTATCCTTGTTTCAGCCTGTGTTTTCTGCAATATTTCTATGTTTTTTCCTGAATTCACTTTTTAAATCCAGAGTTGTCTTTGTCATTTCATCCATCCATATATTTATATTTTCTTGAGTTTCAGTCAGAGTTTTTCCCTATCCTCTCTATTTCTTTGATTTCTTTGTGTGTTCTTTAAATTCACTGAATTCTTTAATAATTTTTATAATTTTTCTTTTGAGTTCCACGTTCTGCATTATCTTTAGGGGGTTCTCATTGCATTCCTCTAGAGGACTATTGGTATTTGGTGGGGATATATTATTTTTGTTTTTCATGTTATTATTTTTTCTCTGCGATTTTGACATGTGAATTTCCTTTGTAGTTTCTGATTCTTGCCTGAGACTCAAGCTTTCAAGTTTAGATCTGCTTCTTTTTGTAAACTTTATATGCCTTTGTGGTTTACTATTTGGGCATGAAAATCTGGTTCATCTAAGCTTCTGGTTCTCTCTTTTGATTTTATTTGGAGCGGCCAGATTGATTTTGTCTTCAGGAGTTCCCACAGAGGCCCAAGTCAGATGAGGATCAGATGTTCTCAGGCTTTCTCCTAAGGTTTGCATCCCTCCAGGAAAGATGTTGTCCTCAGGAATTTCGGGGTTGGACTGGTCTTGGAGCACATCCCAGGAAAGATGCTGGTCTTGCGCAGCTGGTGGCAGTGACGTCCAGAGATGCAAAGGGAGATGAGGGCAGGAAGAGACCCCAAGGGCTCCCAGGGACTACAGGGGAGAACCTGGGTTGGTTTGCATGCAAAGGATCAGGAAGCTGAGAGGTCAGCCCCAGTGTCCAGGAAAGAGGTTGGCGGGTTGTGCAGCCCAGGAAAGCAGTGGGAGGTGAGGGTGGGACCAGGCTCAGAGGGCTTCTGGGTTTGTCTGGATGCAAGGGATCAAGAAGCAGTGGTGGTTCTGGGTCTAGAGGTCAGCCCTGGTGCCCGGGAAAGAGGCTGGCGGGTTGTTGCGCCCAGGGAAGCAGAGGGAGGTGAGGGCAGGCCCAGGCCCAGAGGGCTCCTGGGGACTGTGAGGAGGAACTGGGTTGGTCAGGATGCAATGGATCAGGAAGCAGTGTTGGTTCCCCCAGTGTCTTGGGTGCCAAGACAAGGAATGGGACAGTACCCAGGCTAGGAGGAGAGATAGGCCTGGGAGATGGGAGGGTGAATGGAGCTGGGGGAGTCAAAGTGCAGAGGGCTCGGTGGGCTTACCCAGGACAGATGCTGGCAGGCTGAGCAGGCCCAGGGAAGCAGAGGGAGGTGAGGGTAGGACCAGGCCCAGAGGGGTCCTGGGGACTGCGACAAGGAACTGGGTTCAAGAAGGAACTGGATTCATCTGGATGTAAGGGATCAGCTATTTTTATTTTTGAGAGAAGGTCTCCCTGTAGCCCCAGCTGGCCTGGAACTCACTATGTAGACCAGGCTGGCCTTGAAGTCAGATCTGCTTGCCTCTGCCTCCCGAGTGCTGGGATTAAAGGCCTACGCTACCATTCCCAGGTGTGTCTTTTCTTAAAAGAAACAGCTATCTAAAAAGAAGCCCTTTGTCTCTTGTTTTTCTTATGCCATGAATTAGTTGTCAGGTCTCTTCTTTGCCCCATTCCTATGGCCTCTGACCTAATAGCTTCCTAACTAGTCTCCTATTCTTAGGACCACCATTGACCTATACTTTTCCCATACTACTTGCACCATTGTTGTTCTAGCACATAAACTTTATGTTACTCTCTCGCTTGAATCCTCCTGTAACTTTTTGCTACCTCACTTTAATTCCCAAGGGTGCTTTAGAACCTATGGGTAGAAGGAGGGAAGATCCAGTCATCTTTTTAAAAGATTTTTTTTATTTATTACTTTTATTTTATGTGTATGAGTGTATTGCCTGCATGTATGTGAGTGCACCCGTGTCGTGCAGTGCCGCAGAGGTCAGAAGAGGGCTTTGGATTCCCCTGGAACTGGAGTTAAGGATGGTTTGTAGCCTCCATGTGGGTGCTGGGAATCGAATCCTGATCCTCTGCAAGAGCAACCAGTACTCTTAACTGCTGAGCCATCTCCCCAGCCCTGGATCCAGTCATCTTAAGGAATGTTAGAAATTATGTGTAAGCCCTATTCCTCTGGCCTGTGGGTAGGAAGGTGGTTCACTGAGGCCATGGCTGTTCACCCCCTCTCCTTGCACTGTCTTTTGCTTTTGTAGCCTGGTGTGGAACAAGAGCAGAGTCACAGTAAAGGAGCTGAATCTCCCTACTCATCCTCACTGTAGCAATCTGAGGCTGGCCGACTTGTTGATTGCTGAGCAGGAACACAGCAGGTGAGAAGGAAGACCAAAGACTAGAGCTACCATAGTACAAGATCTCTACAGATCCAGGTTCCTGACTATTAAGCACTGACCCTCAAGTGTCAAACACTAGCCTCCCTTTGCCTCAGCATTTCCTGACTGTTGGAATTGGTATGCTTCCAAAGGCTGCTAAAGAAAAAGAGGAATTAATGAATAGTCTGAAAGGTGTGATTTGTGATGATAAGGAACTCAATTCTGTCAACTGTCCCATAACTCATATCTCTGGATGGGTAGGCTCCAGGACCACCTGGTCTGCCTTTTGCATCCTCTGAGGTCTGTTCCAGTTGGGACACTGTGCCCACTTGGAGAGCAAGTGATTGTCCTGCTCTTCAGTAGCATATCAGTCCATGAAATTAGATGTCCAAGAATGACATCTCCACCACTGAGGCTATTTCTGTGCGTCTCAGTTCCTAAGGATCTGAGATGATGTATGCTGCATATGCAGAGTATATTTCCTGGTAGATCTTGCCAGCATCGTCATTATTGTCACTGGGAACTCTTTTTTTTAAAAAATATTTTTATTTTACATGTATGAGTGTATTGCCTGCATGTATGTAAGTGCATCCATGTTGTGCAATGCCTCCGAGGTCAGAAGAGGGCTTCTGATTCCCCCGGAACTGGAGTTAAGGACGGTTCATAGCTGTCACGTGGGTTCTGGGAATCGAACTCGGGTCCCTGCGAGAGCAGTCAGTCCTCTTAACTGCTGAGCCATCTCTCCAGCCCCAATCACTGATAACTCTTAAGCCCCCAGCTTCTTCCAATAGATGCCTTTACATTGAACTCATCTAGAAAAATGTTATATATGTTGTATACAGTTTGTTTGCTTTGAGGCAAGATCTTATGTAGCCCAGACTGGACTTGAGCTCACTATGTAGTGGAAGATGACTTTGAACTTGATTGAGATTCTCCTGCCTCCACCTCCCAAGAACTGGGATTATTGGTTATGCTACCATAACGGGTACAAATAGGATTTGTTTAGAATGTGTTCATTTAGAAAAGTCTTAAAAGCAAGGATACCACCTGTTTTCATCATGCTCTCCTATGCCATGTCCGTTCTGAAGCTTTTTATCTTTTGTAGCAACCTTCGGCACCCCAACCTGCTGCAGCTGATGGCTGTGTGCTTGTCCCAGGACCTGAAGAAAATCCGCCTGGTTTATGAACGCATCACAGTTGGCACACTGTTCAGTGTCCTCCATGAACGAGTAAAGGGTCATTCCATGGATTTTCCCCAGTTGCCTTTCCTCCTTTCCCTGCCCTTTGCCCTTCTCTCTTTGCAGAGTTCCCATTTACATGTCTGAAAAATAAATCTACATCTTTTCCCTTTATTGGGCAGTGTAGCATGCCCGATAATAAGCACATTGTCAGAACTAATATGATTTAAGTTTTATTCACATTCATTTCTTTTTCTTTTTTTTAAATCTTTTTGAGACAGGGTCTTCCTGTAGCCACAGCTGGTCTGGATTTGCTATGGAGACCAGATTGGCTTTGTACTCACAGAGATCAGCCTGCCTCTGCCTCCTGAGTGTTGGGACTAAAGGCAAGCACTGTCACACCTGGCTCACATTGATTGTGTGTGTGTGTGTGTGTGTGTGTGTGTGTGTGTCTCACATTGATTGTGTGTGTCTCACATTGATTGTGTGCGCGTGTGTGTCTGTGTGTTTATGTACATGCATGTACACATATGCACACGTAGATACATGAAGGTATTGTGGTATTTATGTAGAAGTCAGAGGAAAAACTCGCAGAAGGAGTTCTCTCCTTCTACTGTGGATTGAACTCTGGTTATCAGGCTTGACGGCAGTTGCCTGATAACTTGCTAAGCCAACTCACTGGCCCTAATGAGATTTTTATTTTTTTGGTCGTTTTGAGACAGGGTCTCCCTGTAGCCCCAGCTGGCCTGGAGCTCATTGTGTAAACCAGGCTGACTCTTGAACTCACAGAGATCCACCTACTGGGATTAAAGGGGTGTGTCACCACACCAGGCATTTAATGAGATATTTTTATTATCAGTTATTTTTCTCCTTTATTTTTTCCTTTCCTTTCATTTTTTTGCTTTCTTTTTTTAAGACAGGGCTTACTATGTAGCCCTGGTTGGCCTAGAACTTGCTATGGAAACCAGGCTGGCCGGCAGTTTATAGAGATCTACCTGCCTCTGCCCTTCTAAGTGTTGGAATTAAAGGTGTGTGCCACCATGCCCAGCATCCTTTCATTTTTAGAAAAAATTATTATTATTGTGTGTGGTATGTCTGTGTATGTGTTACACACATGACATGGTTGCATGTGTAGAGGCTATAGGACAACTTTGTGGAGTTGGTTCTCTCCTTCCACCCTTATGTGGGACCTGGGAAACAAACTCGGGTCCTCATACTTGTACAGCAAGTGCTTTACACACTGAGCCATCTAGCTGTCCCCCCTACCCCGTTTTTTTTGTCTTTTTTGAGATAGTCTCCCTGTAGCCCCAGCTGTCCTGGAACTCACTATGTAAACCAGGCTGGCCTTGAACTCACAGAGATCCGCCTGCCTCTGCCTGTTCAGAGGCGTGTGCCACCACACCCAGCCTGTTCTGGTTTTTTTGAGACAGGCTCTCATTATGTAGCCCAGACTGGCCTCAAACTCATAACCTTCCTACTTCCAGCCTCCTAAGTACTGGGATTACAGGCATTTAACACTGTACTGGCTTCAGTCTTGCTTTTTTATCAGCCCTGTAATAGCACAACAGACCCTGAAACACATTGATGCAACTGTAGCTGAGTAATTGACACAAACTTTATTTTCCTACATTTTGCTTATGCTCTGTCCTTATTTGTTTATATAGAGACCTTTACCTTTCCCTTCTTACCTGTCAAATTTCCTTGTAATGGAGGAATGTCTTCCATGACTGAAAGATTTTGTGGTCAAGTGCACTGTGGGGTGGGATATGGCTTCAGAGAGCTCTTTTTCTGTGACTTTTTTCTAAACACCCTAGGTAAGAGTAAAGAGAGACCATCTAGAGGGGTCTTTCTAGTTTGTCTGACTGCGCTAGAGGCTAGATTGATTCTCTTCATCCTGTAGATGTTCTCCAGCAGCACAAACTTGGATAGGGAGGTGCTAGGGTAGTTCCCTGATAGTTTCTTGATCTTGAATGCACTTACTAAGTTTTGAGAATTTTTTTCTAATTTGTCAGTAACCTATAAGAAAGGAATATAGGTTTGTATCTAGGGGCACTAGATAAGTGGAACTGTAGGCTAGTCACTTACCCTCACTAAACTTTAGGTTCTCTACCTGCAAAATGGTAATACCAGGTAGCTGTGAGAATCAAATGTAAAGGCTTTGGAGATGACATTGTCAGGAGGCTTTTTTCTTTTGTTTTGGGAATTTTCTCTCTTGCTTGCAGAGGTCCCAGTTCCCGGTGCTGCACATGGAAGTGATTGTGCACTTGCTGCTCCAGATTGCTGATGCATTAATATACCTCCATTCTCGAGGGTTTATCCATCGCTCCCTCAGCTCCTATGCTGTTCACATTGTCTCTGCAGGGGAAGCAAGGCTGACCAACCTGGAATACATGATGGTAAGGTAGGTGCAACCTCCGCTGTGGCTTCCTCCTAAAGTGAGTCTCTCTGGGAACCTTTGCTATGATAAAATCATAATCTAATCTGGGTAGGACTCCTCATTGTTGGAATAACTATTCATCAGCATGGAAAGAGATTTCTCATATGCCTAGCCCCATTTACCAAGGGTATAGATAGACTTTTGTTTGTTTATTTACATTTGATTTTAGTGTCTGTGCACTCATATGTGCATGTGGAGGTCAGAGGTCAACTTTCAGGAATTCATTTTTTCCTACCATGTGGGTCCTAGGGATCAAATTCAGGTTGGCAGGTTTGGAGGCAGGTGCCTTTACCTACTTAGGCATTTCAGTTCTTTCCCCCCTTTTCTGAGATAGGGTCTTGTTATGTAGCTGAGGGTAATCTCAAACTCACTGTGTAGCCCAGGATAGCCTTGAATTCACAATCCTCTTGCCTCAGTCTCTCAAGTGTTCAGATTATAGGAGTGTATCACCACAACTACATCTGGCTGAGAAGTTACTTCTGCTTGAGGTAGTCTTGTTTTATTTTTTTCCCCTAAATATTTTTATTTTTAAATTATTTTTATTTTATGTGTAGAAGTGTATTGCCTGCATGCAAGTGCACCCATGTTGTGCATTGCACATGGAGGTCAGAAGAGGGCATCAGATCCCCTGGAAATTGGAGTCACTGACAGTTAACTGCCATGTGGGTGCTGGGAATCAGACCTGAGTCCTCTCAAAGAGCAGCCAGTGCTCTTAACCACTGAGCCACCTCTCCAGCCCTGGTAGTCTCATTTCCATAAGCATATAACATGTCCATATTAACTAATGAATACATAAAGCCTCTAATTATCCACTCCAAAATTTTTGGCAGGGGACTGGAGAGATGGCTCAGCAGTTAAGAGCACATATTGCTCTTGCAGAGGACGAGAGTGTGGTTCACATCAGGTGGCTCACAATCACCTGTAACTCCAGCTTCAGGGGGATCTGATGCCTCTGGCCTCTGGAGGCACAAACACACACACACACACACACACACACACACACAATCTTTTAAAGACAGGTGGGCTAGAGAGATGGCTCTGCAGTTAAGAGCACTTGCTGCTCTTACAGACAATCCAGTTTCAGTTTCCAGCACCCACGTGATGGCTCACAACCTTCTGTAACTCTAGTCCTAGGGGATTCAACACCCTCTTCTGACTTCCAAGAGCATCAGGTTTACATGAGGTACACATACATATATGCAAACACTTATAAACCTCTGAGCTCAAAGCCAGCCGGCTCTGCATAGCGAGTTCCAGTCCAGCCTAGGGGCACATGGTGAGACCCTGTCTCAAAAAACAATAACAAAACCCACTCTTACACATAAACTAAAAGAAAATCCTTTAAAAAAAGAAAGACAATGAAAAAAATTCCAGTGGCTTGACACAGCAGAGTTGTATTTCTTACATTGTAATATATCATGTGTATTGTAAGGAAGAGTTAAGTATTCTTCCCATTATTGGCTCAGCCACCCTCAAGGCCTCATTTCCCCACTGCATTATTTGAATTACTGGTCTGGGAATAGGAGAAATCATAGAGGGGGTATACAGTGAGGTTTGGGGCCAACGTGAAGTGGGCATGTCATGGTTTCTCATTTTGTGCTGGCTAGAACCCAATTACCTTCTTAGCACATGGAGGCCCAGACATGTGCCTTAGTTTTAGAAGAGAGGTGATAATGGGTACCAGTGAGCCTTCTGATCTGTCATATCTTCTATTGGATACTAAAGGCACTCTGTCCTCAGGGGACTCAAGCACAGTGAGAAAGACACTCAGAACAACTTTCTTGTTCAAGGGCTGGTAGTTGGGCTTAGTTTCCAATTGGGCTGGAGTTAAGAGACTGACCAGTTTCCCACCCCAGGCTCTAGGAGGCATAGGGCCTCTTCTATACATTCTAGCTATCATGCCCAGCTCTAGGTCTTTGGCCCCATGTTGTTTCTTCTCTACTTAGAGGCCCTAGGCACTGGGAAGACCCTTTACCCACCTGCCTTCTGCCTTTGTCGCCCACCCACCCATCCCTGATATTTTGCTTTTCAGTCTCTCAGCATGTCTTTGCTCCTCACATGCCACAGTTCACTGCTGTTATTACATGCAAAGCTCCATGAGAACAGAGGTTTGTTTTATTCACTGCTAGATCCCAGATGCCAAGAACAGCTCTTGACATATGGACACTCAGTATATGTTTTCAGGTGAATGAAACAAAGATCTCTTACCTCCCTACACTTCATCGGTTCTTATGCCTCTACCTAGAAAGGAAGGCAGAAGCAGATTGTGTTTCGTCCTGGGGACCTTGGTGAGGCGTCTGAACTTTAGCCATTGAGATATTATAGAATATGTTTTTAAATCATTGGGATACCATGGATGATTTATTGGTTAAGATCACTCAGGCTCCTGTGTGTGAAGGGGCTGTGAGAACAAGAAAGAGGCAAGGAATGCTTGGAGATGTTTGAATTTTCTAAGGTGACAGCAAGAGGCTGGGTGACTGTCATCAATCAAGCTGTTAATCCTCAGATCTGTCCCTTCTCAATCCCAGTTAAAACTCTTCAGGGTTGCCAGGCGTAGGCGCACGCCTGTAGTCCCAGTACTTGGGAGGCAGAGGCAGGTGGATCTCTGTGAGTTCAAGGCCAGCCTGGTCTACATAATGAGTTCCAGGACAGCTGGGGCCACAGGGAAACCCTGTTTCAGAAAAGACCAAAACAAACAAACAAAAAAACCCTTCAGGGTGGACTGGTGAGATGGCTCAGTGAGTAAAAATGCTTACCACACATGCCTGCCAACCTGAGTTGGAGCCCCAGAACCCATGGTGAAAGTAGAGAATTGACTCCTGAAAGTTGTCCTCTGATCCCACCACACACAAAAAAAATCCTTTAAAGGGCTCCTTCTTGCCTGTAAGAGTAGGTTCAGGCACTTTTGCAAAGTATGGAAGCCATCTTAGATGGGCAAACTTCCCAGGTGGGATACTGCTCATACAGCCAACATCATCTCTTCTCCCTCCTGATTATTTTTATTTTTTTGAGACAGGGTCTCAAACTTGCTATGTAGCCAGGGATGGCCCTGAACTCCTTATCCTCTTGCTGTCACCTCCCAGGTGCTGGGATTTTAGGCATATTTACCTCCATGCTTGACTCTTCCTGATCATTTGAACTCACTTTCAGTCTCTTGCCTTTCTGTGCTGCTCATTACATCTGGTATATCTCTTCAAACTTATTTCTCCTTTCCCCTCCTCTCCTCTCCCCTCCCCTCCTCCTCCCCTTCCCCCTCCCCTTTCCCTTCCTCTCCCCCTCCTCTCCTCTCCCCTCCCCCCAAAAAGTTGTCCTCTGATCCCACCACACACAAAAAATCCCTCCCGTCCCCTCTCCTCTTCCCTCTTCATCCCCCTTCCCTCTTCACCTTTCTTCTCTGTCTTCTCTCATGAAAAAAATATTTCATTTATTATTTTTTAAAAATGTATGTGTATGAGTGTATTGCCAGAATATGTGTAAGTGCACCTGTGTCATACAGTGCCCATGAAAATCAGAAGAGGGTGTTGGATTCCCCTGGAACTGGAATTAGGGACGGTTGTTAGCTGCCATGTGGGTGCTGTGAATCAAACCCGGGTCCTCTGCAAGAGGAGCCAGTGCTCTTAACCACTGAGCCATCTGTCCAGCCCCTTGGTTTTATTTATTATTTATTTAAATATTCATTATTTATTTATTCTTTTTTGGTCTTTTTGAGACAGGATCTCCCTGTGTCTGGCCTGAGTCTCCCTATGTAGACAAGAGGGGCCTTGAACTCACAGAGATCTGCCTGCCTCTGCTTCCCAAGTGCTGGGATTAAAGGTATGCACCACCACGCCCAGCTTTATTATTTTCATTTTATGTGTATGAGTGTATTGCCTGCATGCAAATGCACCCATGTCATGCAGTATCTGCGGAGGACAGAAAAAAGTTGTATCCCCTGGAATTAGAGTTACAGACAGTTGTTAGCTGGCATATAGGTGCTGGGAATTGAGTCTGGGTCCTCTGGAAGAGCATTCAGTACTCATTTATTTTTTATTATTTTTTTAATTTTTTAAAATTATTTTTATTTTATGTGTATGAGTGTGTTACCTGCATGAATGTGAGTGCACCCATGTTGTGCAATGTCACGGAGGTCAGAAGAGGGCTTCGGATTCCCCTGGAACTGAAGTTAAGGACAGTTCATAGCTGCCATGTGGGTGCTGGGAATCGAACCCTGGTCCTCTGCAAGAGCAGTCAGTGCTCTTAACCACTGAGCCGTCTCTCCAGCCCTTTGTTTTTATTTTAAAATTACTTGCCTCCTGAGTATTGGGATTATAGGCATTTACCACTATGCCCAGATCTTCTTTTTTTAAAAAAAATTTTGTAGCCAGGCGTGGTGACGCATGTCTTTAATCCCAGCACTCGGGAGGCAGAGGCAGATGGATCTCTGTGAGTTCAAGGCCAGCCTGGTCCCCCCAATTTTTTTTATTATTATTTTATGTAATAATATATGTATGTTATGTATGAATATATTGCCTGCCTGTATGTAAGTGCACCATGTTGTAAAATGCCTGTGGAGGTCAGAAGAGGGCTCCAGATCCTCTGGAATTGGAGTTAGGGACAGTTGTTGGCTGCCATGTGGGCGCTGGGAATCAAACTTGGGTCCTCTTCAAGATCAGTCAGTGCCCTTAACTAAGCCATTTCGCCAGGCGTGGTGGTACACACCTTTAATCCCAGAATTTAGGAGGCAGAGGCAGATGAATCTCTGTGAGGCCAGCCTGGTCTACCTAGTGAGTTCCTGGATAGCTAGGCTACAGGGAGACCCTGTCTCAAAAAAGACAAAAACAGACAAAAAAAATGAGCCATCTCTCTAGCCCCCAGATCTTAAATTTTTATTTTATAATTTTGTGTGTGCACATGTATGTAAAGATCAGAAGTCAACACTGAGTATCTCCAGTTGCGCTCCACACATATTTGTTTGTTTGTTTGTT